GACTCTCTTGCTAAATAATTAATTAAAAGATTAAATTATTTGATTTTAACATAAAAATAATTTATTTTATGTTGATTCAGATTTTAATATTAGTTCATCTCTTGTTTGAATATTTAATCTTAATTATAATTTTATCCACCATAAAATTTATTTTCAAAGAGTAAAAAATTGATATGATATTTCACTTTTAGATCGTTATGTTTGTAGAATCATTAGTGGTATTGACTCTTACCAACTATTTTTTTTCTCTTTCTTACACATTTATATTCTTAAATATTTTCTTAGTTGTTATTTAATAATTGAGTATTTTTCAATATTACACGAAAAACTGATAAAAAAATATTATTTGAGTGAAAAAATAGTTTAAATATAAAATAAAAATATATTAACGTGGGAGTATCTTTTTCTCAATTTCAACTCTTTATGCAATCCATTTAATATTACTTTTATTTTTTCTTGGTATTGGACATTATAGCGTAGTAATGTATTGCCAATACAGAGGATTCTTATGAAGTTATTTTTATTAAACCTTCCTATATATTTTTAATAAAAATTTAATTGACAAAATTTATTAATTTTAAAATTTTAAACATTAAAAATTAGCATAGAAGTTATTGTAGTCCAAAAAATAGGTTATTACAGTTATGTCCTTTCCTTATGAGTTCTTCGACTTAATATTTTAGGGATATTTTGGTATATTAATATTGTATTTATGCTTTTATAAGAATATAAGGTCTCCTTTTTCTAGATGAATTTGGACAATATAATACATTCTCAAATTAAATTAGTAATAGGACATTATAATATGTTTTCAAATTAAATTAGTAATAGGAATTTTTAAGAAGTATATCCTAAAAAGAATAGGATTACATGACTAAATATTTACTTGTTCAATTTTTTATGACTTAGAAATTTCAAAAGTAATTATACTAATAGGATTTCTAAAGGTAATCATGTAGGATTCCTAACGTGTAGTATTATGTTCTAAAACTAATAAGATTATAAGACTAATATCTAGAATTCCAGTTATATCCTTTTATTATGAGTTATTATGCTTAATAGTATAAGGTTATTTTTGTAAACCAATATTATATTCAATTATTTATGTTTTTATAATAATATAGATAAATATAGATATATGCAGTATAATTTGCTGACGAAGGGTGGTCAAATTGACAACCCTTAAGAGAGTGTAGCTTCGCCCATGTTCGTATAGCTGCATGCAGACGAAAAATTATACTCCTTTGACCAACCAATTTGGACAATCTGTCAATCTGATTGAGGCCGAGCTCTCAGAAGCTACATGAGAATATTTTAGTTCACCCGACCCGACCAAATAACGGATACTATAATATTAACATATTAATATTATTATTATTATTATTGTTAATTCATTTTTCGTCTCAATCTTCAAGTGAATAAATAAATTCTTTCCCAAAAATCGCAATGAAACATATAATATGTTGAAGAAAAAATAAATGCAGTATTATACGAGGTGAGTTGGTTCGGAAAAGGAGAGAAGGATGGGAGTTAGCTGAGAATTTATGGTACTACACACTACAAGGCGAAAACTAATTAACTTTAGCTCAGATCTCATATATGTATTTATAAATTTACTAAAAAGTAAAAAAATTATATTTCGAACCTAGCTAATAAACTAAATAGATTATGGTAAATTTCCAAACATATAAAATTCAAATATTTGATTCCCCTCTGGTACTACATATTTGGCCGTCCACACACATACATAGTATCTCCTCTCCCACCCNCAAATTCGAAAGTTTTATAAATTTTGGACGTCGTTTAATGCATCAGAAGCTAAATATGGTTGGGTTTGAATTCAAAGGGATAAAACTAGATTAATTTTTCTGTTTGAATTCAAAGGGATAATGCTAGCTTGTAGAAAAATAAATACTTTTACTTCGAAAATGAAGGGTGACCGCTGCATCAAAACGTCAACTTAACTAATACATTAAAACTTATTATCTTTTAAAGGCTATTTTTCCAATTCAAGATATCACAGTACAATTCACAATTTAATTTAGCAGATTGGAAAAGAGACGAACGTTATAACTGGAAAAGGCTATTTAATTTAGTTCGTGATTAAGTAGCACAATACACTAAATTAAACATACCCGAAATCAGCATTATAATCTCAATTATTATTAGTACTATATTTGGAGGCTCCTAATTCCATAAATCATGTAATTCCCCATAACAAGCTGACATACAAGAATTTTAAGTGGAACCATTTTACCTGAAAATGGGGAAATAATTAAAAACATTGTCTATACTTAAAGATGTTTACGTCCCTTATTGGCCATAAATAGTTAGTTGGCAAAGCCATAAGATTTTGGAAGTTAAGTACATTAATCCGAAAACTGAATAAAATCCACATTTTCAGGTTTTCTGTTACAAATTAGTAAATGGTGCTATTAGACACTATTCATCAGTTTTACTTTTACACGGATCCAACTCCCCTCCATTTTCTAGTCTCTCCATTTCTCCAAATTCCTATTTAGATTTGAGACACTTGTCATGATTAAAAATTAATGGATGAGATTTAATTAAATAAATTAACCGTGGTTAAAGTATTTAATTTTTTTTTTATCTATTTCCAAATAATATCTTTTAACGGTAAACTTGCTATGATTCTACTAGTTTTCCCCCTCTATTTTTCCTATTACTGCTCTTATTCTTTGCCTTTTGAGATGTTACTTTGTAAACTATAATATGTTGCTTTATTCAAGTTGTTGTGTGGTGGTATATAAGAATATCTAATATTTCTTCTCTTTTTTTGTAGTGATTATTTTTCCATGAGTTAATTTTTCTTTTCACTTCTAAAAAATCTTCTTGTATTCTCATTAAAAAAAAAAAATATTAGAAGTAAATTCCAACATTTGACAATAAAAATTAAAAAACGGTACAAATCCATTTTGAGGCTCAACTTGAGTTGTCATTTCTCTGTTATTTTATATTTTTCTCAAAGTAAATTTGTACCGTTCTTTAATTTTTATTGTCAAAGGTTGGAATTTACTTCTCATATTTTTTTAATTTCTTTTTAATGAGAATGTAAGAAGATTTTGTAGAAGTCAAAAATAATTAACTCATGGAAAGAAAACTACTACAAGAAAGAGAGAAGGAATGTTAGATAATGTGTAGCTATAATTATTGAATTGTAAAAGATATTATTTTTTGAAAATAGATAAAAGAAGAAACTAAATACTTTAACTATGCTTAGTGCTTTAATTTATTTAATTAAATTTCATCTATTAATTTTTAACCATGACAAGTATTTCAAATCTAAGTAGGAACTTGGAGAAATGAAAAGACTAGGAAATGAAGGGGAGTTTTAATGTCTAAAGCTGCCTTCATACTTAACATTTCCTTTTCAAATTCGTGTTGAAGCACCAAAACAATAAAAATTCTAATTTTCGTTTTTAAGTTTCCTTGCCTATGATATATTCTGGGAACCTCTTCTAGAAGACCTATGAGTTTTAATTTCTGTTTGTTTCAAGTTTTGAAATTAAATTTATAAGTTAATTTTTGAGTTTTTAACAAAATCAAATACTAACTTTTTATTGGAAGTTTCTAACCACAATTTTCTAACTCTGCAAAATAAATAAATAGAAACTCCGTTACCGATTTTATTTTACAAAATTTCAAAGTCAATTTTTAAAAACTCGAGACAACACAAACACCTGGAGATTAGTACTCCTTGCGTTCACTTTTAGTTGTCCAATTTGGACCTCCCGTGCCTCTTAAGAAATAATAAATAAAGTACATAATTTATTATGATATACATATTAATTGGTATATAGTCTTAATTGATTTGAAAAATAATTTGAAATAAATAATTAATGCTAAAGAAAAAACAAAAAAAAAATTATTATTTTCTCTCAACATGCGAAAAATAACAAATAAAATAAAAATTTATTTTTAAAATACTTTACAATTAAATTTAGATTAATAATAGCTTTTAATTTTATTACTTAGAAATTTTAGCCAAACCATGCATACGACAGGCCAATTACACAAAGCGTACTTTCCTAGAAGAATTTGTATCATATGCTTTAACTGAGACGTGAAGCGCACTGTCCAATTATATGAGACCATTTGTATAGAGACAGTTGTACTTGCGTTTTAAGCGATTGAGAAAGCGGCCCCAAGAACAAACATAAAGCTCCGGCCAATAAGGCCGGAACAGTGGAGAATCTTTGTACATCTGCTTGAAACACCGTGTTAAAGTTCGTCTTTTCTAACCGAGCCAAACAGAGATAAGTAAAAAAGAAAAAGAAAATAACAGAGTCAAACAGCTGTTAATGTCTAATTAATTTACGGGTGCGTTAGATATCACCGAAAATATTGTTAGAAAAATGCTTTTAAGAAACAAGGGAAAAATAATTTATGGCACTCTCATTTTTTCTTCCTAAATATTCCAACACTAGTTTCATATTTCTACTCAACTCGACATTTATATATTTTTATAAATTTTCTCAAAAATTTCACTAAAACTCTATCCAATTTGCTAACATTAGCGTCAGTCTAATAAAATTCTTTTAAGAAAAACTTTTCACTTACAATTTAAAAAAATAACCTATTTTGTAAAAAATATATACCTAAAAATGACTTTCGTCGTACTAAATACTACATATTCACCTATTATTTGTCAAAAATGCATGCAGAGGAAACTTTCAGCCTGACAAAAAACTGTTCTTTATATAAGTGTTACTATCATTTAATTATAACTAATCAAATACTCCTAATACATATCTTTATGTCAATTTATCAGTTACAGAATTGACTAGTATGATTTTCTATATGTTATCGTCAGAATTCAGATCTACTATAATAAATTTGTTGCAGTGATGAGCTTTAGGAAAAGCGTAGGAAACGCCAAATATGGGACCCATTTTCATGGTACAGTTAAAAAATGGTCCCACTTTCACTTTCAAACTAATCCGTACTTTTGGTGTTTATAAACAGCTGGAATTTTTTGTTAAGTCCCAAGTCCTCATTTCATCACACACTCTCTGAACTTTGTTCTTTTAACGCTGTACAAGTAGGAAAAAGTTTAAGAAAATTTCAGACTAAACACAGCTGTTTTCCTTTCCCGCTCCTAATGTTTTTCTTTCTAGATAACAGAGTTATAGAATAAAGTATAGCAAGAAAAGAAGGGATAAGGTTGGGAATAAAGGTCATTTCTTGTAAAGGCACAAGCTTGAGACTTGCGACTGAGTTCTCAATGCTAATCAACATGGTTTCGAGGCTAGTAATGTCGAATGTGTTGCTGATGTTGTTAGTGTTATTGGGTTCATGTGTTTTTTCCGGATTAGCTTCTGTGTCATATGACCGAAATGCTATAATTGTAAATGGCCAAAAAAGAATTCTTATTTCTGGATCTATTCACTACCCAAGAAGCACCCCTGAGGTATTACAATGCACTTTGTTTGTTTTATCATTTATGTTATGTCCCATTTTTTGTTCAAGATTTTCTTTTGGCAAAATGGTGTCTTTAAATTCCTTGTTTGGTATTGCACAGATGTGGCCGGATTTAATTCAGAAGGCGAAAAAAGGAGGCATAGATGTGATTCAGACTTATGTTTTCTGGAATGGGCATGAGCCTGAACAAGGCAAAGTGAGTAAAAGTTGAGACCTTTAGTGGTAATTTTCATGACTTACTTGTACTGATATTCAATTTCCTCTTCTTTTTTCTTTCATTTTACAGTATTACTTTGAAGAGAGATATGATCTAGTGAAGTTTATTAAGCTAGTGCACCAAGCAGGACTTTATGTGCATCTCAGAGTTGGACCTTACGCTTGTGCTGAATGGAATTTTGGGTATATAAACTTGTTATCCTATCTGCTAAAATTGTAATTACCCATTTTGGCATAAAGTTAAGTTCTTGATTTGCTTTATCTGTTTCAATTTTAGGGGTTTCCCTGTTTGGCTGAAGTATGTTCCAGGTATCAGTTTCAGAACAGATAATGGGCCTTTCAAGGTAATTAGATTTAAAAAAATACCTATAAATTCGTAAGTATTACTTTAATGTCATTGGTTTCTAATTTTGGCTCTATTTCTTTTCATGCCTAAATTGCTACTATAACAAAGGCTGCAATGCAAAAATTCACTACCAAGATTGTTAATATGATGAAAGCAGAACGGCTGTACGAATCTCAGGGTGGTCCTATAATACTATCACAGGTTGTTAAAGAAGTTCTTAATTCCTTTCTATTTTCCTTAATTCCAGTACAATTTGTTTCCTATAGCTAAAAATGAGAGGTAAATTGTTGAAAGCAATTTTCTTTCTTTGATTTAACTTAGGGCCCGTTTGGCCAAAAAAAAGTTCACTTTTTTTATTTATTTATTAGGAATTAGTGTTTGGCAATGTAAATTTCAAATTTCACGTAAAATCTCAAATTTTTTTGAAATTTGAAAAACTCCAAAAATTATTTTTTAAAATTTTAACTTCAATTACTCACAAAAATTTAAAAACAGTTTTAATTTTTAAATACCATTTTCAGAAAAAAAAATTCACCTTTTATCGGAATTTCACAATTCTTATGTCCAAATGGCCACTTAAATGGCAGATTGAGAATGAATATGGGCCAATAGAGTTGAGACTAGGTGAAGCAGGTAAATCTTACTCAGAATGGGCAGCAAAAATGGCGTTGGATCTTGGGACAGGTGTCCCATGGGTCATGTGCAAGCAAAATGATGCTCCAGATCCTGTCGTAAGTTTTGCCCCTATAACAACTCATTAATTTGCTCTTTCTTGTTTGTCGTTTTTATTTTTCTTCTCATTATTGATAAATTAAATCCTACACATGGTATATCTATTGTTTAAAGCATACCTGTCTTTTCTCCTGTCGTTTCATCAAATATCACTCACATTTGTCATTTTTTGGATCACCGACTTGAGACCATGTTAATTTGTCTATTACCAAGTATGAATACACCTTTCTAACTTTAATCCTATTATTGAATCACAGTTGCAACCAAATTAATACATACAGTAATTCCTTGTCTTGCAGTCTGGTTAGATATTTTTATCTGATTTCTACTTTATTTATGGTGTAAATGTGAAAATGTTTAGGGAATAAGTTCCATAATACTACTTTGTTTTCTTATTTTTATTAGTGACATAAAGGGGATGTGTTCCTTTGGATAAATAACTCAGCGTTCAACCAAGTGTATCATTCGTCCTTTTTGGAGCCGAGGGTCAACAGATGATATTAGATCAATTTTACGAAATATATACATAAAATACCTAGTTTGTTAGAAAGACCATCGTTCACGTTTACCTTTCAAACGGCCTAAATCTGCCCCTGGAGTGAGGCAGGGCAAATGCAAGTATTTTTTGTGAGAGATTGAACATGTAAATAGAAATTTATATATAACTACTTTAAATCACAGCCACTTAATTAAGAAATTAAAAATTCTTGAAAAGATCATGGTCAAAGAAATTTGTTTGATTTTCAATGCTAATAGTGTCATTTTTTTTTGTTAAGTTAGAACTATTTCTTATATTTCTTCCTTTATTATCTTACTCAAAATGTATCTCTTTCCCATGTTTAGATAAATACTTGCAATGGTTTCTACTGCGACACCTTCTCACCAAACAAGGCTTATAAACCCAAGATGTGGACAGAAGCCTGGACTGCATGGTAAATTTGCAAACACATATTTCAGAAGCAATAAATGATCAGTTTCTTATTTTACATCTTAGCAACAGTCCATGTTGGAAATAATTTTATATTATTAATTTTTGCAGGTTCACTGAATTTGGAGGTCCAGTTCCTTATCGTCCTGTTGAGGACTTAGCATTTGGTGTTGCTAAATTTATACAGACTGGGGGCTCATTCATCAATTACTACATGGTATATTGAGCGTTTTCTTTTTAATATTTAATTTTCAAGAGTTAGAACGGGAGCCTTGGGGTATAAAGTTGTTGCCACGGGCTCGAGCCGTGGAAACAGTTTCTTGCAAAAATGCAGGGTAAGACTGTGTACAATAAACCCTTGTGGTCCTGCCCTTTCCTGGACCCCGCTCATAGTAGTAGCTTAGTGCACCGGGCTGCCCTTTTAATTTTCAAGATTTACTATTGCTTATGAATCAAAGAGCATTGTTTTATGATGTTTATTTCTTTCTTGGTTCAGTATCATGGAGGAACAAACTTTGGTAGGACTGCTGGTGGCCCATTTATTGCTACTAGTTATGATTATGATGCACCACTTGATGAATTTGGTATGCACTTTTTCCTTTAAATTTGAGTCTACTAAATATCTTCATTTAAGAAGGAGCTAAGATCAGAATTCTATCATTTCATAACCATGGAAAAGTGGACTCTTTGACCAAGTTGTTTTATTTGAATTGAGTAACAATTTAGGTTGAATGCTTTGAGGTTACCACCTGTTATTAATCTAATAAAAAAGCCAACCAATAGATATATGATGGTGTAGTAAGTCATGTCAGCCAGAGAAGATCCATAATTTAAGTTCTATGAGTTCAATCTTTAAGATTCTCGACATTGAATTTATTTTATTTTTAAAATTATGGGTTCAGATCTATTATTTTATGCAATTTTGGTGGATTTTTTCACGTAAATTTATGTTCCGCGTAGAAAGTACAGAGTTCAGATGAACCCGGTAGTCCTATGTTGCATCTGCCCCTGATGCCAGCTGCATTTGAAGCAAAAGCCGGTGACAAAAGTATCTATTTGCTTCTTTTAAAAGCTTCCTGGTTTCCCAAGCTTGAAATTTCAGTAACTTTTGATGGCTTAGCTGATAGTGATTATATCATCTAATGTGATTGGTTTGACGAGTCCTATTCTGCAACGAATATGATATCACACTTTCAAGTTTGGTTATTGCTGTGAAAAGATAATTTCTTGCTGATGAGGTTTCTTATGTTCATGGTTTACCGCTTGAAATAAGACGCGAAAGAGAAAAAAAAAAGAAGCTGAAGAAGAACTAGATTGTTTAGCCAAATGAAGTTTCTTTTTTCCTTTTGATCGTTAGGATTGTTACGGCAACCTAAGTGGGGTCATCTGAAAGATCTGCATAGAGCAATAAAGCTTTGTGAACCAGCTTTGGTATCTGGCGATCCAACTGTGACATCCCTTGGACACTATCAAGAGGTAAGGTTTGTTGCAATTCTTGAGCAGTCGACGTATATGTGAAATCTGAAGTGAAATTAACTGCTATTTCTTCCGCAGGCCCGTGTTTTTAGGTCGAAGTCTGGGGCGTGTGCTGCATTCCTTGCAAACTACAACCAACATTCTTTTGCTACAGTGGCCTTCGCGAACAGGCATTATAACTTACCACCCTGGTCTATCAGCATTCTACCCGACTGCAAGAACACCGTATATAATACTGCAAGGGTGAGAACTGGACTCTCTCCATTAAGCATTTATGCTATTTGATGCATAACAATGAAATTGCATCTAAACATTAATGAGTTATGAAAAAGAGAATTCCTTACCTCTTACCACTTACTGCGACTAACGGCTCTTTTAATTCCATGTGAAGGTTGGTGCTCAAAGTGCTCTGATGAAGATGACTCCAGTAAATAGGGGATTTTCTTGGCAGTCATACAATGATGAGCCAGCATCTTATGAAGACAATACTTTCACGGTTGTTGGGTTACTGGAACAGATAAATACCACAAGAGATGTGTCGGATTATTTGTGGTATATGACCGAGTAAGTGCTTGTGTAGCTTCTCATAGTTTCTGAGTGCTGCTTCGTATGTCAAAAGTAGGAAAATTAATGACATTTTAATACTTTAGCTTCCGCACAAGTTTAAGATCATTTATGTCTATCTTCAGTGTCAAGATTGATCCAAGAGAAGGGTTTTTGAGTAGCGGAAAATGGCCTTGGCTTAGAGTCTCTTCAGCTGGTCCTGCTTTGCATGTTTTCGTGAATGATCAATTAGCAGGTATGTCACATGATTATTTGTTTTTCACGAGCTTTACACTTGCATCTTTAGTTCTGCACTGATCCTTCAAATTTTAAGGAAATAACAAAAATGATGAAACAGTATTAGATTTCTGTTGGCTTTATGTCAATTTTAAAAAAAATCTATTTGCAATGGATTTGTTCTTTAAATATTTGAAAGGTGAGAACCAGTGGCCCAACAGGAATTTCAGTAAGGGTCAAGATATAAAGAAGTAAACATACGAAAAAGTCGAGGGGAATCAATATCTACTATATATGTATAATAAATAACTTTGACCTAGTATATATAGTGTAATTTTCCGGTGAACTCCTTTCCGCCCCTGGCTCCTCCATGGTGAGAAACTGTTTGGTGTCATCAGGAACCCTCAAGCAACGCGATAATTTATGTGATAATAAAAAATAAGCCACCGACATTCCACTGTATAACCACAAGTTAGTTATATAACGTCTCGGTTGGTTAAATCGTCTTTTTTTTTTTGTTGCAGGAACTGTATATGGAAGTCTAAAAAGCCAGAAACTTACTTTCAATAAAGCAGTAAATCTGAGAGCTGGTGTAAACAAGATTTCTCTGCTAAGCATTGCTGTTGGTCTTCCGGTTTGTTCTCACTCCATCTTGCCCCTCTTTCTCTATTGTCGTCCATATGACAGTGTATATCCTCATAGGCAGTTGCATGGCTCTAAAGACTGCACACACACACACACACAAAAAATTAATTTTCAGAGTCACACTTTGGTACTTCAAGTACACATCTTCACTTGGCTTGTTTTTACTTGTGCTCGAACTCAGAATATTGGCCCACATTTTGAGACATGGAACACTGGTGTTCTTGGGCCAGTTTCACTCAGTGGTCTTGACGAGGGCAAAAGAGATTTAACATGGCAGAAATGGTCTTACAAGGTTTGTCTTTTTGAAACGTTTGACAGATAATTTAGTTGTTTTAACTGCCAGTTTATTTGACTTTTTAACTTTCTTGACCAGGTTGGTCTAAAAGGAGAAGCCTTGAATCTTCATTCGCTCAGTGGCAGCTCGTCTGTTGAGTGGGTTGAAGGCTCTTTGGTGGCTCAGAGACAGCCTCTCACCTGGCTCAAGGTGCATAACTCATATCTATGCCTTGTTCGTTAATGAATATTTGATTTATCTTAAGCTCAATTATTAGAGTAATCTGTAGTGGTTAATTGTTTTATTTTACCGTAATAATTTTCATATCAAGCTCTTCATATTTCCAGACCACTTTCAATGCTCCAGCTGGAAATGAGCCTTTGGCTTTAGATATGAATGCCATGGGCAAAGGTCAAGTGTGGATAAACGGACAAAGTCTTGGACGATACTGGCCTGGATATAAAGCATCTGGTACGTGTGGTGCCTGTAACTATGCAGGTTTCTTTAGTGAGGATAAGTGCCAAAGTAACTGTGGAGAGGCCTCACAGAGATGGTAAGTAATGACAAACCTTTTTGGTGCATTTTCCTCTGGTGTCACAAGAAGCTCGCTATTAACTGAGAATCATGATATTCAGGTATCACGTGCCACGTTCTTGGCTGCATCCTACTGGAAACTTGTTAGTTGTATTTGAAGAATGGGGAGGGGATCCCAATGCGATTTCTTTGGTCAAGAGAGAATTAGCAAGTGTCTGCGCAGATATAAATGAATGGCAACCACAGTTAGTGAATTGGCAGATGCAAGCATCTGGGAAAGTTGACAAACCACTCAGGCCTAGAGCGCACTTAAGTTGTGCTCCTGGTCAAAAGATTACTTCAATCAAATTTGCAAGTTTTGGATCACCACAGGGGGTTTGTGGAAGCTTCAGGGAAGGAAGCTGCCATGCCCACCACTCATATGATGCTTTTGAAAAGGTAATAAATCTTGCTTGTGATTTTACCACCATATTCTAGAAGAATAACTTGGACAAAATTCACAGTTATAACTAGTTGTAGCTGTCAAAATTGATTTTTTTTTCGGTCTTCCCCTAGAAAATAAGATCCTAATGCATTGTTCCCTTGGACCTAATCGCGCTAAGTTTTTCCTCTTATTTATGCAAGCAGTTGCAGGATGTTATTTTCTGACTGAACTAATTGCATTTTTTTGTTTTCTGTTTTTTTCAGTATTGCATCGGGCAAGAGTCGTGCACAGTACCTGTGACGCCAGAAATTTTTGGTGGTGATCCATGTCCAGGTGTTATGAAGAAACTCTCAGTCGAAGCTATCTGCAGTTGATGATACTGAGGATAAACAAACAAACAAGGTTTCAGCTAGTACTATTATACACGATAGCAATAGTTAAGTATTCTTTTTCTGAATTATTTCAAGAAGCTACTTCACATCCAAGGATCACCAAAATCATTTTTTGGCTTCACTGAGGGTGAAGTTGTACAGATATGCAACACATCCAAAAGGTCAAAGCTCATATTTATTGAAAAACTACGGGGGAAGATTCTGTACATTGTATAAGTTACTGTCAGATTGGTTGGTGTACGCCTGTGTTCTGTAAAACAAGAGTTTGAGTTGGTCCAAGTGCACATCTACATGATTCTTGATGTGGCCGTGTGCAGTATTTTTAGTGGTAGAATCTATAAGCCCTTTTCAGTTGAGGGATTTCAATATTGTATTTATCTACGTAAGAAAGCAATTATTCATTGCTCTGCACTAGTAGCAATGTTACTGTGACGTTGCAATAACATCAAGCTCTCTTTTAAGATGTTTTCTCTATCTTGTACTTCATCTTGTGCTGCCTGGCTTGTGTACCGGGTGATGCATTCTTTGCATAATTTAAAAACTCTCCTTTTTTCTTCTTAAAAATCTCAGTTATTTTAATTTGTTGAATTGATATATTGCTTAACTTTTTACCTCCAAATGCGCAAGTTAGGCCTTCATCTTCGTTGCTCAACTAACCATTATGAGTCAACCCACTGCACATACATTTGAAGATCTTTGGATTCCTATCCCAAATTTCTGGCATTTTTAGTCTGCTAACTTATCAATTTAAGAAAAGACTGCTTGTCTACTACAGATTTGGTCTAATTTTGAAAAGGGAAAAAAGCCAAATATACTCGTGTACTTTTGAAAAATATTTAAATATATCCTTCGTTATATTATGAGTCCAAATATACTCATGTCGCTATATTTTGGGTTCAAATATACCCCTCATTTAAATGGATGACACGTGTCATCGTCCAATTGACCAATTCTAAATATCTCCTAATTAATTAAAAAGACTCATACTCATTACCCATACCCGAAAAATAATTTTCTAAAGCAATTTTTTTTGTAAAAAAAGAAAAAAACTGAAATTATTTTTACTAAAAATTAGAAAAAACTGAAATTATTTTTACTAAAAACTGGAAAAAACGAAAATATTTATTTCAGTTTTTACAAAAAAATTTACTTAAAAAAAAACTGGAAAAACTGAAAAATATTTTCTAAAGCAATTCTTTTTGTAAAAACTGAAAAAACTGAAATTATTTTTACTAAAAATTAGAAAAAACTGAAATTATTTTTACTAAAAACTGGAAAAAACGAAAATATTTATTTCAGTTTTTACAAAAAAATTACTTAAAAAAAAAACTGGAAAAACTGAAAAATATTTTCTAAAGCAATTCTTTTTGTAAAAACTGAAAAAACTGAAATTATTTTTACTAAAAACTGGAAAAAACGAAAATATTTATTTCAGTTTTTACAAAAAAATTACTTAAAAAAAAAACTGGAAAAACTGAAAAATATTTTCTAAAGCAATTTTTTTGTAAAAACTGAAAATAACTGAAATTATTTTTACTAAAAAATGAAAAAAACGAAAATATTTTTTTTTAGTTTTTACAAAAAAATTGCTTTAGAAAATACTTTTCAGTTTTTTCAGTTTTTTTCAAAGCCATTTTTTTGTAAAAATTAGAAAAAAAAATATTTTCGTTTTTTCAGTTTTTAGTAAAAAAAATTGCTTTAGAAAATTATTTTTCGGGTATGGGTCTTTAATTAATTAGGAAATATTTAGAATTGGCCAATAGGACGATGACATGTGTCACTCCGTTTAAATGAGGGGTATATTTGAATCTAAAGTATAGCGGCATAATATATTTGGACTCATAGTATAATGAAGGGTGTATTTAAACATTTTTCGAAAGTACAGGGGTATATTGCCCTTTTCCCTTTTGAAAAAGCAGCTAACTTCTAGATACAAGGCCACGAAAGTGGCTACCTGATGTAAATAACATAGGAAAGTCGCCACGTATTCCCATTGCAGAATTCATTTACAAATAGCAATGACTCCAGAGGCTTAAAGCACCTCAGATTTGTTTACATCATCATAAGATTCGAGATGAACAAAATTTTATCAAAAATTTCACCAAATCGTATAGCTAGATAGTACAATCAAGAATGCAGGCATCTGTTTAAACGAAAAATATGATGACAAGATACAGACTAAACCTATGCTAGCCTGGGAACTTCCTCTCTTTAGCCCTTGTTCTTTGAAGCAAGAAAACTTTCTACCTTTTACCTTGGCACATAAGAACCTACATCATTTCACTACAATAACAACATATTATGAGGCTCCCTTGTGATCAGTCGATCTTCACCGAGGAGTAGATCTTTCGAACAAACCAGAAGCAAGCATAGAATCCAATTGTTCCTGTTAACACAAAGAAGGCATATGATGCAATCAACATATAGCCAAAATACAAGATTGCTGAAACCAACTTTGTGATTTCCAACTTGGTGAAGAAATAGAAGATGGAGTAGAGGAACAGGTATAAAGCAGAGGATCCAGCAGTAAGATAAGCTCTCCACCACCAATGATAGTCTTCACTGCACAACTGGAAGTAACAGAGCACGACGGCTATCTCGGCACATGTGATTATCAAGATCAGAAAAACGATGAAAAGGAAACCAAAGATATAGTAGTACTGGTTCAGCCATATGGAGGTCAAGATGAAGAACAGCTCAATGAAAACAGCTCCAAATGGGAGAATACCCCCAATAAGTATAGAAAAAGCTGGTCTCATGTACCATGCTTGCTCTGGTATTTGCCTAGGGATTTTGTTCGTCTTAATAGGGTCTTCAATGGCTGGCTTCTTATATCCAAGGTAGCTTCCGACAAACACTAAGGGGACCGAGATTCCAAACCATAAGCAAACAAGAGCAAACATGGTTCCAAATGGCACTGCCCCAGAAGATCGCTCTTCCCAGATGAGAGCATTCAATACGAAGAAGATGGCAAAAAGTATACCAGGGAACATGAAAGCAGTTTTCAAGGTAATCCTTTTCCACTCTGTTCCCTTGAACATTTTGTATAGACGTGCAGAAGTATACCCAGCCAACAAGCCCATGAAAACCCATAACAGAACCGTGGCAGTCATTAGTCCACCGCGGTTGGAAGGTGACAAGAAACCTAGCAGAGCAAAGATCATTGTGACTAGTGTCATTGCAAGTATTTGAACACCGGTCCCGACATAAACACACAGTAATCCAGAATTAATTGGAGGACGGAAAACATCTCCATGAACAAGCTTCCATCCTGTTTCTTCTTGAGCTTCATCTTGTGTTTCCAATTGATTATAGTTCGCAATATCTCTGTACAAAGTTCTCATCATGATCATGGCAACCATACCGGACAGGAAAAGGACAATCATAAGAGAATTTATGATGGAAAACCAGTGAATCTGATCATCATTCATGAGAAGGTATGTATCCCAACGAGAAGCCCACTTTACATCGCTTTCCTGGAGAAAGATAGATAATAGTGAATAGGATATCCAGAATCAGCGAAGAATATCTTGAAGCCTGAAGCAGGAAGGACAAGGAATTAAAGATTCAATAAGAGAATACCTTGAAAGAAACATCATATGTGAATACAACCTCCTTATCTGTATCTACTTCCTGTGGAATAGCGGTACCTTGTATCAAATTTTTTGTATTCTCGTTGCATGTTGACACTTGAGGGTTCTTGTCATTCCACTCCTTGTATTCGTGATTAATGCTGTTAATAAAATTATCAGAAGATAACAGATAGGCTAGAGTTACAACCCCCCGCCCCCCTGGGGTGAGAGGAATTAAAATAGATTCAGAAGTCATAGGTGTTAAGCATTTAAACCTGTTTGGAGTGACTTCAAATCCAACAATACGAGCAGTATCAGTTTCAGGATCGTTGTGGTACATGACTTGAAAGCTTAAGTGGTTGTTTATAAAATATTTCTCCTCTTTGCTCTGACAGAAGCAAGTGGAATGCATAAACATTTATATTATTTTGAGAAGATTAAGCTATCATATCTGACAATTCAGAGACATCACTAACCCCAGCATAATTCCCCTTGAAACCAACGCGGAAACCATGCTCATAAGTAGTTGACTGACTTCCATCCCGCCTCTGTCTACGAACAGCAACAGGAAGGTTATCCAAAATCCTGCAACACCATGTGATTGATATTAAATTTTCATTTCACGCAAAAAACATGAACAGAAGTATCACAAATGGCAGGAGTGAACAAAATATAAAGGGAACAATGCTAAAGAAAATTTACTCTTACATATTGACTCTGTATTCATCATCAATTTTTTCCTTGAAGTTCTTTGCAGATTCGGCATCAAGTTTTTGCCGACACACCACTTGGCATGACTGTTCTTGTCTCATTTGGAACTGTGAACAGATGATTAAAATATAGTTCCAGTTAGCGAGTGCACACATAAGTACATAAAACCATCATTAGACTATAAAAGCATATATCCTTACAGTATAAACTGAATTCTCTATGCGGTCCCCTCGAAGAACCTCCCCCAAATTCTCTGCACTATTCAAAATTTTTGTAGGTTTGCAGTACTTCAGGTAGTAATAGTCATAGGGAAGTTGTGTCTTGGTAGATGACAGCTTGTTCACTTTAACAGAAAGTGGATCACCCTGTTAAAGAAGAAGAGGAACACAGAAAAGGAAGCTTTGTTAGAAACAATAAAACTACATAGGAAGCTCTAGGGAACACAATCTTTTTTAGTAAGGGGGAACAATCAAAAGCAACAGATATAAACATATATAGCAAAACGTGACACCCAAACACCGATTTATTCAACTGATTCTCTTTTCTAATGGATTCTATCCAGCAACAAGTCCAAGACGTCAGGTTAACCCAATAGACAAACATCTGGTGACTTCAAGTAAATCAAGCTCAGTTGGAAAAGCAACACTTCAAGTGATCTCTTAAATAGGAAGACCTTCATGGTTTCTTTCTCTTTGAAATACGTTTTTGGAGCTTTAACATATACTCCCTCTATCCCAATTTATTTGGTACTACTATTATTTGGAAATCAACAATTTTTTTTGACCCTCCAACTCCAAACCGCGTCATTCTTTTAGCAAGGGTGGAGCTACCCATGTCCAAGCGCAGTCAATTGACACCACTTCACCGGAAGAATGCATTGTGTATATAGGTCAATTTTTTTGTGTAAACACATTATATGTCCCCTTAGCTTCTTCATGTGTTTACTCCTTTATATTTTGAATTCTCTAAAGTTCCTGGCTCCGCAGGGACAGACAGAGTATTACATTTCTCTGGTGAGTCTACCTCAGTTGACTAATAGCATGTTTGGCCAAGCTTCTCAGCAGGCCAAAAGTGCTTCTTTTTTTTTTTTTGAAAAAAAAGTGCTTTTGGCTAGAAGCAGAAGCAGTTTTGAAGAAGCAGAAAAAAGTAACTTCTCTCCAGAAGCAGAAGCAGTTTTGACTTTTCTTCCTACCAAAAATACCCTTTGCAAAATATTATATATACCAAAATAACCTTACTTAGTTTAAACTATTAAGTAATATAAAATGACTTTTTGGATGAGCTTTCATATTTATTGGATGATTTTTAATATATTTAAATTATCTTGAAAGAATAAAGTACTTTTCAATTTTATTTTTATATTTTACTTAAATAAAATAAAAAATTTAATTATTATCTTTAATAATAAAAATTTATAATTATTTATCTACTTATATAATATTAACTATTAAGCAAATCTCTTCATGTCCTTATTTGTAATTTGACACATAAAAGCACTTTTTGAAAAGATTGGCTACACACAAATTATTATTCAAAAGTGCTTTTCAAATTCTTTTCTCCAAAAGTACTTTTTTGAAAAGCACTATTGAAAAAAACACTTCTCAAAATAAGTTTATTTTTACGGCTTGGCCAAACAGGCTATAAGTTAGAATTAGTCTATCAACAACAACAACAAACAACAACAACCCAATATAATCCACTAGTGATGTCTGGGGAGGGTAGTGTGTACGCAGACCTTAACCCTACCCCTGTTTTCGATAGACGCTCGACTCCCTCCCTCCAAGAACTCCCTACATTGCTCTTGGGGCGACTCGAAATCACAACCTCTTGGTTGGAGGGTGCTCACCACTAGCAACCCACTCTTGTCTATCAACAAAGAGAGCAAAATATCACATTTATCAAGCAAATCAAACTTTTTATAGGTACTAAACAAAGCAAACATTTTTATTTACCCTAAACATCAGATCAAGCAGGCAACAGCAACCCATTTCACAAAACTTAAACACTCAGTCAAAAACCATAGATCCAATCATTTATCAGTCACATGAACTCAGTAAAATAGTAAGACTTCAGAAATTACTGAATACCGAACACTAAAATATGCTTAAATTATTTAAGAAACGATCAATCACATTACTATTTGATCCAAAAGATCCTATCTTGATAAAAATACCGTTGAAACACAAAAAAAAAAAAAGGGAAAAAAACTAAGGATAGAAGTAGTTTAGAGCGTACAGTGTGAAAATCGCGAGGAGCAACGCCGGGGAGATAGAAGGAGTGTGTTGACGAGACGAAGAAGAGAAGAGAGAGGCAGATGGCGGTCAGCCGGCGGGATACTCGGTGACCCATCTTCAACTCCGTACCTTTCTGCACTCAGAGCCAAATGGTTGACGAGTCGGTAGTTTGAGACAAACTTCTGTATTTGCGGTTTGTTCGTAAGTCGTACTTAATAAATCGCAATGGCCAATGCGATTTATAAACGCATTAATAGTACGATTTACAAGTGGTGTCATTGAGAGACAGCTATTAATAATTAGGATTAACATAATGCGATTTATATGTCGTATTAATAAAATACGATTATTAGTTGCATTAACAGAATGTGATTTATAACTTTGTTTGTAAGTCCTACTTCTGTAAGGTGGTTTTAAAAAATACCTTTTATAAGTCGTACCGTATGAATATCATTTGATAGAATGCGAAATCGCGTTGATTCAATGCGATTTATAAGTCGCATCATTCAATAAATGCAATTATCGTGTTACTTCACAATTTATAGAAAAAATTGCAATTTAAAATTCGATTTAAGCTAATGAGATCTTTCACACCGTGTGTTAACTCTGCTAACTTAGAATATATGTAATTGCATTTCACATATATGTTTTGTATAATTTTTGAAATTCTTACAATAATTCTACATTAGTAAAAAAAAATTCAGCCAACATGCACATTTGGGTAAAAACAATTCGAATGTTAATGTGAGGGACATCTTACTTTACAAGTTATATATACAATGATACTTGTGTGATTTTACTAATTACCCAGATCTTTTTTAGATGACATTTGGCTTAGATAATTTACATAAGACTGCTTTCAAAACAATTTGTTTTTGTTTTCGCAAAAAACAAATTTTCAAGGAACACTTTTTGTAAACCTAAAAGAAGACTTTTTATTCTTTGCATAATTTTTTTTGCCAAACAAATGCAAGAAATTTATTTATTTTGGAAAAAAGACTACTAAAAAGATTTCATCTTGACATTTGTTTGAACAAAAGCTTTTGCTAAAATTAGAAAAATCTATGCAAAACTCTTCTTCAAATTTGTTTAGTCAAGTACTCCCTCCGTCTCATATTATCAGTCGTGATTACTAAAAATAGTTGTCTCAAATTGTTTGTCATATGTCATATTAGAAGTTCAAGATAAAATTGATTATTTTTTTCCTTTTTTACCCTTAGTAATAATTATCCTTGAAAACTACAAACACCTAAATTATGACTAAATATTAAATGAAGAGAGATTATGAGCCTGTTTGGATTAGCTGATTGTAAATAGTTGATAAACTTGAAGTGCTAAAAAATATTTTTAAGTGTTGAAACTGATTTTTTAAATAAGTATTTACGTGTTTGGATATACTTGCTGAAACTGATAATAAGCAGTTGATGTGTTTGGTAGAAAAGTGTTGATAAGCCGTTCTTTCATTAAAATAACTAAAATATCTTTAAAAACTTTACAAAAGATTATGAACTAAAAAGTTTCTTTGTAATGAAAATGATGAACAACGAATATGCAATGAAGAGAAAGTTAGGAAATTTATTTTGGGAAAAATATTTTGTGAATTAAAAAATATTATTAAGGATAAACTAGTAAAAGTCTTGGTCAAACTAAAAGTGCTTGTAAGCTGAAAAGCCATAAGTTGGGGCTGACCAACTTATGACTTATAGCCGCTTTTAGCTTATAAGCACTTTGGATGTTTACCAAACGCGTAGATAAGCCAAAAGGTGCTTATAAGCCAGTTTGACCAGCTTATAAGCTTGGCCAAACACCCTCTATATCTTAAAATATAAATAAGGGTAAAATAGTCAAAACATATCCTATTTAATATTTTTTAAGGTGACGTGTAAGAGAGAAACACGACAGATAATTTAAGATAGAGGGAGTAAGCTTTAGCATAAAGGGAGAAGAAAAGAAGATTGAAGAAGCGGAAATGATTGAAGGACAATTCTTGCTAAAAATTGAAAAAATCTTTTGAAAGACTTTAAATTCAAATATATACTTTTAAAATTTTAACCAAATATTGTCTAAATGCCTTTATATATATANATTATATGATTAGAAAATAAATTTATAAATTCATATTAAATTAACAAAAATATATATATGACAATAGACAAAGTTCTTTCCATAATTGTATTAATGAGTGACAAAATTTTCAAATGAAAAGACATTTTATAAAGCATCAAAATCAACAATTAGGTAGTACTATTACTTGTATAAAAATATAAATTAAACGACACTCTATACGCTAAGTACCTAAATATCACTAACTATTTATTAGCATAATAGAAGGAGGAAAATCATCGTCTGAGAAAAAAATTTTAGTTACTCAACAGTAAAAATATCGGTCTTTCGTAACCTCAATTTTATTTTTAGAATCATCACAATATTTTTTAAATATCTTCATCCTAGCTTATAAACTATTGAAAATCGTTAAAACAATATATAACATAGCAAGCACACTCAAAGAAGTCATTCCACCTAAATTTCTTCCAAATAATCATATTCGTATCATATGAAACAAAATCTTATATAGAATAAATATTTTAACATTAAAATTGTCTTGTGCTAACAAAAAAATCTTTCACGTTTCTCTTGGCGCACGTTAACGTAGCTTTGCTAACGTACGCAACTGGAAGCCATGGGAGGAAGAGGACGACCTAAACGGAATCTAATGAAAATTCCGACTATAGATCCGAGATAAGTAGATGTAAGGAAGCCAGTAATAAAAATTTTTGTCTCACCAAAAAGGGTGAGAATTGAGGAAACAACACTCTGAAGAGCATGATGAGTGAGCAGAGCAGACTAGAATAAGATCCAGCAATTAACAATGGCAAGCTGAAAGCAGTGATAGCTACGCCTATAGCTAGTAGTGGAATAGATAGTGGATCTGGGAGCAGAAAGATAGAGATGAACTCTATTACACCAAATAGCAAAGTAACAATGCCATGCAAAGCTGATAAGGCTGAAAATCTCAAAGGTACTGAATAAATGGAGAAGGAAAATGGAACTCAGTCATGGGCAAATATTGTAGCAGGGAATAAGCTGGCATCGAGAGGAATGAATCTTCAATATATTGCATCAATGATTCAAGATGGGGAGAAAATTATAAAATTAGATCTAGAGGATGTTGAGCAGGAAAATACAAAATAGAGTACAACACTTGTACTGTATGTAATTGGGGATTCACCATCCATAGGAGCAATGGAACGATTCCTTAATTCAGTGGGTAAGTTCTGCATGAAACCTCTGATTTATTATCATAATGAAGACTATTTTGTAATTAGATTTGCAAACTTGGAGGAAAGAAGTCAAGTTTTATATACTGGGCCTCACACCATCAACAACCGCCCCATTATAATGAAAGCATGGACACCAGATTTTAATATGCATGATGAAGTACTGAGAACCATTCCATTGTAGGTGAAGTTCCCAAATCTTCCCCTGAATTACTGGAGTATGAAAGCATTAAGTAAGATAGGGAGTGCCCTGAGAAATCCAGTATATGCGAATGATTGTACAATTGGTACAATCAGAATCTCTTATGCGAGAATGCTAATTGAGATGGACATTACAAAACCTCTTACTAGAAGGGTGAAGCTGCAGGATTCAATGAGGAAAACAATTGAACAAGAGATAAGCTATGATTGGGAACCAACATACTGCAACAAATGTCTACAAATAGGATACAATTGCAATGAAAACATAATGCAACAACCACAAAGGCAGGCATACAGAGGGAGAGGAAATAAAGTCAAACAAGTCTGGCAGAAGACTGAGAAAGCTGGACCTAAGAAAATAATCAGGAGAAGGAGCAAACAAAGAAGATGGAAATAACAAAATCCCTAGAGAATAACACAATGCAGATTAGTGCAGCTACTAAACAATCTTAAGAAGAAGGGTGGACAACGGTTAGTGGGAAGTCAGCAGCAAGAATGGCAAAAACAAAGCAAGCTGAAGGCAAGACTCTAGGTGGCAGTAATGGGTTTCAATCCTTAGAAAGTGGACAAGCAACCAATGAGCCAAGACCAAGCAATATGCAAATGAGGATTTATGGGGCACAGGAGATATATCATGATACTCAATTCATACTAGTATTAGTGTGATTACATTTAATGTTAGAGGTTTAAATAAAGCATACAAGCAAAAGGAGACAAAGGAGTTCATAAAGCAGAATAAAAAAATAGTGATAGCATTAGTAGAACACAGAATAAAGGAGCAGAAAGCTAGTAGTATCATCAATACAATTGCACCCGGATGGCAGTGAATATCAAATTTCAGCAGCAATAATAAGAGCAGAATATGAATATTATGGGACCCAAGAATCTTTGAGTTTGAACTAATTAACATAGATTGTTAGTACATACATGGACAAGTCAGAACTCACTCAAGATTATTAGTATTTGGCTTTACAGCAATATATGGCTCGCATACTATCAAAGACAGGTTGAGTATGTGGCAGAAATTGAGGCAGATAAACAGTATACAGCAAGGACCATGGCTAGCAATGGGAGATTTCAACTTAGTACTGAATAGTCAGGATAGACAGCATGGCAGTATAATACAAGATATTGAAGCAAAGGATTTCATGGAGTTCATAAGTGATACTGGCATGAATGATTTACCCACTGTGGGAAGGGATTACACATGGACAAATAATCATACCTATAGCAGGATAGACAGAGGATTGATAAACATAAACTGGATTATGACAATGCCCAGCCTGTGTATACAAATCCTAAAACCATCGTTCTCTGATCATTCCCCACTTAAGCCGATGATCTCACAAATACAGAGGAAGAAAGCCCGTCTATTCAGGTTCTTTAACTGCATAACTGATCACCCTCAATTTATACAAGGAATAGAACAAGTATGGAACATAACTGGAGATGTTGGGAAGCTACAGGGAGTATGGAACAAACTAAAGAGAATCAAACAAGTTATTAAGGGGCTCAACACACAACACTACAAAGGTGTTGATGACAGAATCAAAGAAACCAGAAGGGAATTACAGGAAGTGCAGGAGAAAATAGGTTGTAGAATGATGAATACAAAATTAGTTGAGAAAGAAAAGGAACTGAAAAGTAATCTAGAGAAGTGGATACTGATAAAGGAAAGCATTTATAGGCAAAGATCAAGGGTACAGTGGTTGAAGTTGGGAGATACTAACTCTGCATATTTCTTTGCTCATATGAAGGACAGGAACACTTTAAATGGAATACATGCTCTCACGACTGATTTAGGGGTTCAAATACATATGGAGGAGGAAATAGACGCAGAAATACTTGGATACTATAAACAATTGCTAGGGTCAAATGCTCCTGCAATCCCAACAATAAATCCAAATGTAATGCAAAAAGAGACAATGCTCAAAAGAGAACAACAAGTTAAATTGATTCAGCATGTCACAAGGCAAGAGATATGGGAAGATCTACAAGATATAAATGACTTGAAGGCCCTAGGATATGATGGGCTTAATGCAATTTTTTTCAAAAAGTCATGGCATATCATAGGGGAGGAGGTAACACAAGCTGTGCTGGATTTCTTTCAGACATCACAGATGTTTAAGCCAGTTAACTGCATATTAATAACTCTAATTCCTAAAGTCATAAATCCTGCTACCATCAAGGAGTATGGACCTATTTCATGTTGCACCACAATTTACAAAATCATTTCAAAAGTCCTGATCAGTCGATTACAAGGTGTCATGGATGATCTAATAGACAAGACTTAATCTTCCTTTGTCCCTGGAAAAGTCATTATTGATAATATCATACTAAGCCATGAGTTAGTAAAAGGGTATGGAAGGAAAGAGGTGCCACCTCGATGCATGATGAAGCTAGACATGCAGAAGGCATATGATTCACTTGAATGACCTTTTCTTGAGCAGGTTTTGAGTGCATTAGCATTTCCAGAGCAGTTTGTGAAATGGATAATGGCTTGTGTACAAAGTGTTACGTATACCATCATCTTGAATGGTTCACCAACTCATCCATTTGAAGCCAGTAAAGGACTTAGATAAGGGGATCCACTATCCCCATTTCTTTTTGTGTAAAGGACTTAGATAAGGGGATCCACTATCCCCATTTCTTTTTGTGCTGGCAATGGAATACTTCACAAGAAGATTGAAGGCATTGCACCATATCCCGGATTTCAACTATTATCCTAAATGTGCAAAGATGCAGATCATGCAACTTGGTTTTGCAGATGACCTTTTGTTGGTCTGCAGGGGAGACATTGGTTCAATTCAGCTACTATACAACTGTTTTATGGACTTCTCAAAAGCGTCAGGATTGGAAATTAATAAGCAGAAAAGTTCCATCTTCTTTGGTGGAGTATCACAAGATTTCAAAAAGAAATACTGGAGTTCCTTGGAATCCAAAAGAGGAGATTCCAGTAAGATATCTTGGAGTACCTTTAAGCTCTAAAAGGGTCTCACTAATCCAATGTCAACTTATACTTGACAAGCTAGTGGGAAGAATCACATCCTGGACAACCAAGCTATTGTCATATGCAAGGTGACTACAACTCATCAAAAGTGTCTTATTCTCCATTCAAACTTATTGGGCTCAAATTTTCATGCTACCAAAGAAGATTACCAAGCTGATTGAGGCAATTTGCAAAAGCTTCTTATGGACAGGAGATAACAACTTTTCAAAGAAAGCTTTACTAGCTTGGGAGAAAGTATGCCAACCCAGGTCAGCATGAGGCTTCAATGTAATGGACATTGGTCTATGGAATAAAGCAGATATCAGCAAACAATTCTGGAATCTATGCAAAGAAAAGAACAAGATATGGATACAATGGGTACACTGTTACTACATAAAGAACAAACACGTATGGGAGGTGCAAATAAACCAAGCATCATGGATCATGAGGAAGATACTGAAAGCCAAAGAAAACTTTGAGAAAGTAGGATACAATTATGAAGATCTCAGGCAGATGCAGACTTGCTCTATAAAGCACATGTACCATAAACTGCGAGGAGAATTTAACAAAGTGAGCTGGAGGAAATTGGTATACAACAATGCAGGATGTCCTAGGTGGATATTCACGCTAACTTTGGTGGAAAATGGCAGGTTGTACACAAAGGATATATTGCTAAAGTGGGGTATTCACAATGATCAGACATGTCCTTTATGTTCACGTGCAAATGAATCTATACAACATCTATTCTTTGAATGCCAATATGCTGTTGAGCTATGGAAAAGGATGCTCAACTGGCAAGGTATCAGCAGAAACATCTATGAATGGGCTGAGGAATTGCAATGGGCAGAAAACTGACAAGAAACAAAAATACAAAAGCAGAGCTATTCAAGATTGTATTAGTGTCACGACCCCAAATTATCCCTCCGTCAGGTGTCGTGATGGCACCTAGTCTTTACGACTAGGTAAGCCTAATATTACGAAAAATATAAAGAAACACAACATTTTAAAGATAAACAACATATTATAAATAGCCAAGAGTAGTACCACTCGGCATATATAAAATAATTTATGATTTAGAAAGGAAAAACGGAATTATTTTTGCAATAATAGCCCGTGTACGTACTCGTCACCTCACGTACACGGCGCCCACACACCAAATAATATCAATATATCCTAAGGGGGAAGTCCCCAACACAGGGTTAGGCAAGCCACTTACCTCGAACCGCTCAAATTAACTTGATATCATGTTCTTGCCATGAGTATCCGACTCTAAATAGCCCGAATCTATTCAAAATAGTACAATAACATCAATACGCGCTAATGGAATGTATCCCACAAGAAAACTACAAAAATTAGGCCAAAAACCCAAAATTGGCTCAAACCCGGCCCCCGGGGCTCACGTCTCGAAACCTGACAAAATTCACGAAACTAGAAAGCTCATTCACTCATGAGTCTAACCATATCAAATTTACTAAAATCCGATACCAACTGGTCCTCCATTCCACAATTCAAACTCCCAAATCCCTAGTTTCCAACTTCAAATTTCCACCTTAAATACACATTAACTAGGTGGGAAAATACATGGCAAGGAAAGATTATTGACCAAAAATAAGCACAAGGAAATTACCTCAAGAAATGCCTCGAAAATGCTCTCAAAAATCGCCCTAACCCGAGTTTGCAAAGCCAAAAATGATAAAAATCGCGAAGCCTTTCGGTTTTAATCATTGCCCAGGTATTTTCGCACCTGCAGAACCTGGGCTCGCACCTGCGGGTGCGCTTATGCGGAAAAATGTGCGCATCTGCGCAACTCACTTACCCCCTCTGCCTTCGCATCTGCGACGAAAGGGCCGCATCTGCACACTCGCGCCTGCAGAGTCCCTTCTGCTTCTGCGCATCTTGCGCATTTGCGAACGTCCTTGAGCAATTGCGGGCATCGCAGATGCGGAAACTTCCTAGCACCTGTGACCCCAGGCCAACTCTCGATTTCTCACATCTGCGCTTCCATCTCCGCATGTGCAGCTCGCGCACCTGCGGTCTCTTTTATGCAGGTGCGAAAACACCAGAACCAGCAAAGTTCAGAAATTCCTCTAAGTCCAAGTTTTCACCCGTTAAGCATCCGAAACACACCCGAGACCCCCGGGACCTCAACCAAACATACCAACCAATCCTAAAACACCTTACGAATTTAGTCGAGCTCTCAAATCCCATCAAACAATGCAAAAATCATGAATCACCCTCCAATTCAATTTTAAAGAACTTGAAACTTCAAAATTCTACAACCGATGTCAAAACCAATCAAATCACGTCCGATTGACCTCGAATTTTGCGCACAAGTCATAATCAACATTACGAACCTACAGCCATTTTCAGAATTCCATTCCGAGTTCGATATCAAAATTTTCACTATC